TTAAAAATTTAAATAATTAAAAAAAAAAAACAGAACATTTTAATTCCAAAAAACATGTACAGTACAACAGCAACTCACCACGTATTCCAACACAATTGTTATCATTTAAAAAATGTTCTATAATTTTTATCATGAAGCTTAGGCCTTAATCCGAGATCACCAGCTCTTAAAAAGAAATCACCTTTAGTAGTAATAGTTTCCATACACATACATTATTGATTATTAGCTATTGTTGCTAGAATAAAACTAGTAACATGGCCATATGGCTGGTGCTCTCATTTTAAATTCTGGATTAGGCCTAAGTGATGTCACTGCCGTCAAGAAAAAAAATACAGAACGATTCTAAAAGCTGCAGTTTAATGGAGACACAAACAAATGTGTTTTGTTGCCTGTGGTATCTGTTATAGCTAGCCTATTGTAATTAATTGTGGACGTGGTTATTATTGCATCAATGCAGTTTCTGCCTTTATTGATCACACCAGGACTTTATCACCAATCAATTACTATGGTTTGAAAAAGGAGTGTGTAGTATTTGCTGTGTAAAACTGGTCATTCATATACTGTCTGTCACGTGAAATGATACTTGAAATTTTTATAGAGTTTTCCCCACATTTGACAACTTTCAGTAGGCTACATATGCCTAAACTTCGTAAATTAGTTTAAGCACAAAAGGGCCGTTTACTTTCTTCACCTGGCTATAGGTTGTAGCTAATACAAAACATGGATGTTGAAACTTGTGCGTAAATTTGGTCAGTAAATTTGCTTATTCAAAATAATTGAGCCATTCATCAACCCCAACCCTAATTTGATTAAAAATTTAAATAATAATAAAAAATAAAAAAAACAGAGAACATTTTAATTCCAAAAAACATGTACAGTACAACAGCAACTCACCACGTATTCCAACACAATTGTTATCATTTAAAAAATGTTCTATAATTTTTATCATGAAGCTTAGGCCTTAATCCGAGATCACCAGCTCTTAAAAAGAAATCACATTAGTAGTAATAGTTTCTATACACATACATGATTGATTATTAGCTATTGTTGCTAGAATAAAACTAGTAACATGGCCATATGGCTGGTGCTCTCATTTTAAATTCTGAATTAGGCCTAAGTGATGTCACTGCCGTCAAGAAAAAAAATACAGAACGATTCTAAAAGCTGCAGTTTAATGGAGACACAAACAAATGTGTTTTGTTGCCTGTGGTATCTGTTATAGCTAGCCTATTGTAATTCATTGTGGACGTGGCTATTATTGCATCAATGCAGTTTCTGCCTTTATTGATCACACCAGGACTTTATCACCAATCAATTACTATGGTTTGAAAAAGGAGTGTGTAGTATTTGCTGTGTAAAACTGGTCATTGTATAAACCAGGGATCCTCAAATCTGGCCCACGAGATCCACTTTCCTGCAGAGTTTAGCTCTAACCCTAATCAAACACACCTGAGCATGCTAATCAATGTCTTCAGGATCATTAGAAAATCACAGGTAGCTGCGGTTGATCAGGGTTGGAGCTAAACTCTGCAGTGCATTGGACCTCCAGGGTAAGATTTGAGGAACCCTGGTCTAAACTATCTGCAAATATGGTTAAAGAAAGAATCAATATCAACCTGATCATAATTGGCCACACTGTAAAAAATAAGTGTAATTTTAACTGTAAAATTTTGTAAAAACGCTACAGAAAAAAAACTGTTAATAGGTTAACAGTAAGCTCCCGTACTATATACAGGGGAAAACTGTAAAATATCTAACCCGACATTTCATGTAATTTTACAGTAAAATGTTGTTAATTTTACAGTTTTTAGAAGTAAAAATAAAAAATCTATGTATAATTTACAGTCAAAAACTGTAAACTGATATTCCCAGAATTCCCTGCATGACACTCCACATTTGAAAGTATTTTGTTTAAATAATCAGGTTTTTTTAAATAGTTTTTGTTATTAGTTATGTATATTTGGGCTTTATGTTACATCTTCTGTTGTTTAATGAAAGTTGAATGCATTATTTAAGTATCATGTGTGTTACCATGATGGTGTTTTGTGTTTGCATGAATGACTCTCTTGTGCACCTTCTATATATTAGTATATACTTCTACTTGTGACTAAGCTACTTGTGATGAGCTTTGATGCTTCATGTGGCTTTCTCTTTTACCACCTGCATTATTATGGTAGTTGTCAGTATGGTAAAGGTACAAAACAGATTTTAATGGCAGTGTGCCTTGTTGAATTTACTGGTTTACATTCAACAAGGCACACTGCTATTAAAATCTGTAGTACTAAAAAAAATCTGTAGTTTTTGAAAAAAAAATTTGGCAGCTGTGGTTGCCAGAATGATTTTGTAAAAAATACAGATTTTTTTTACAGTGCATGTAGACAGTGGCAAATTCACAACCACTGGTCACCTCGTCTACAAATGTGGAGGAATTGACCATAGAACAATTGAGAAGTATGAGAAGGCTACAAACCAGGTTAGTATTAAATTTAATAACCTTTTATGAATGTTTGAATGTTATTTATTTTTTTATTTAAGATGGGAATGAGTTCCTTCCTGGGTTCTGGGCAAACTGAAAGCAGAGAGGGAACGTGGCATAACAATTGATATTTCCTTGCTGAAATTCGACACTCATAAATACACCTGGTAATCGTGACTTCATCAAGAACATGATCACGGGGACTTCACAGGTATTGATGCATCTTCAGGAGTTGAGCTCTTCTGGTACTTCCTATACAATCAAGTTGACCTAAATGGTGATCTTTTTGTACTTCTTAGGCTGCTCTACTGATTGTCTCCGCTGCAAAGGGTGAGTGTGAGGCTGGGATTTCTCGCAATGGTCAGACGAGAGAGCATGCTTTGCTGGCTTACACCCTTGGGGTCAAACAGCTCATGGTCTGTGTCAACAAAATAGACCTCACAGAGCCACCGTTTAGCCAGAAACGTTATGATGAGGTAGTTAAGAACGTTTCTGTGTTCATCAAGAAGATTGGCTTTGAGATGTGTGCTGTACCTTTCATACCGTTTTCTGGTTGGAGTGGTGAGATCCACAAACCACAAAATTGCCCCATCCCAAAAGGTAATGCCATTCTTAACAGCCTTGCCTTGAAGACCTAGACCAATCCTGTTCATGTAGAGGTACCTACCTGCAGAGTTCAGCTCCAACACTCCTGTCTGTAATTATCAAGTGCTCCTGAAAATGATAGTTGGGTGTTTAATCAGGATTGGAGCTGAACTTTCAGGAAGGCAGATTCCAGGAACAGGATTGGGCACCCCTGATAGACTATATCTTACCTCAATTACTTGCATGTTTTGTTTCAGATGCTATGGTTCAAAGGGTGAAATCTCAAGAGGAAAGAAGGCCACTCAAATGGCCGAACCTTGTTGGAGGTGCTTGATCATCTACTTCCTCCAGTACACAATGCGAGCAAACCACTGTACCTTCCCCTACAAGATGTCTACAAGATTGGTGGAGGGTAAAACTACCAAATGGGTAAGGTCTTGAAGTATAAAACCCATTGAGGACTCTTGACATCTACTGTGACAGTCTAAACTGGGTTCCCCTCCCCAGTCCCTGTGGGTAAGACTGAGACTGGTGTCTTGAAGCCGGGAATGGTTCTAACCTTCTCACCAGCAAAGTTGACCGCTCCCTGGCCACAATGTGGGCTTCAACATTACAAATGTGTCTGTAAAGAACCTTCGGAGAGGTGATTTAGCAGGTAACGCACAGCAGGACCCACCATCGGTAGGACCCACCATCATTGCTCAGGTACAGTAGCTATGCTTTTGAGGTAAAGTATGAACAAACTGACAAAGTGTAACCGATTCTCTTGTGTATTTCAACAGATAATGCTGAACCACTCAGGCAAAATCAAGGTTGGCTACTCCCCTGTACTAGACTGTCACAAGTAATGATTCCTGTCGTTTTGCTGAACTAAGGGAGAAGCTTGATTGGCATACAGGGAAGAAACTGGAGGACTTGTCCCAATATCTGATGTCAGGAGATGGTGCCACAGTCAAACTCGTCCCAAACAAACCCTTATGTGTGGAGAGCTTCTTTCATTATCCACCTCTGTGTAAGGAACTGGATTTAAATGGTCATTACTGCCGAAAGAAGCCAGTTTTGAAGTGATCTTTGTTTTGTTTTTTTGTCAGGTCGATTTGCTGTAAGGGATTTAAAACAGACAATTGCTGTTGGAGTAATCAAGTCCGTGGAGAAGGTAGACCAAGCTAAAAAGACATCACAAAAAGCTCCTGTATCAAAATGAGTTGCTCATTTGTCCCTTTTATAATACTTTATTTACCAGCAGTTTGGTATGTGAACCAAAAGGTTCTCTTTAAGTTGAACATTTCTGTATAGTTTTATGTAACCACACTTTATTTTGCCTTGAAGTGAAGCTGCTTTTTAAATGTGTCGCTGGTGTATTGGGTTGTTTAAAGTGACCCTTGGGCCCAATATGAGGTTTGGCATGGCTGTAGAGAAGCATTAAAAGTATGTTGGTGGACTGCAAATAAAGTGAGTAGTTTTCACTTCAGTTGTTGCGTGTGTGCTCTTGAGTCCACTTGTAGCAGTGCTGGGGAGTTTCTTACCATTTGAGTGGGTTGTAACTTGAGTAAACGTCATGTTTGAGAGATGTGGAGTCTTGTTTAACATGTAACCATTTTATTGATAATGGAATGGTAAGTGAAGAACATGTTCAGACAGTGGACACAGTCCTCAGAATCTGCGGTCAAAAAGAAACCTGTAGCACATTAGACCTATTCTCACCTCGATGTTGAATACTGGGTAAATGCAGAGAAAGGGGTGACTTTCCTTTTCCAAAGAGGATTAAAATTTAAATTCAACTGTGCTTCCTTTTGAATCTCATCTTCCAGAAGGAATTATGCTGACACGATACGACATTTGTTTCAAAATAAACTCAAGACTGACTAAAATCTCACATTGGAAACTACGGTGGTCATATTCCTTCATGGGGGAATTTGAACAGCTAATGAAGCTGATCTTGAGATCTAACATGGGGTTACTGGCAGCATGGATAAAGTATAGGTTCCAATTGCAATACAGTACATGTCTATCACTTGAAAATATAACATCTATAAACCAAGTAAACAACTTTCCATATTTCAAAAGTACTTCAAGTATCAAGACCTCTCAAAACACAATATTAAAGATGACGAAGGGTGACCTTTCTGTTTATGGAACACGGCTGTATTAAAGAGCATTCAATAAGACTGTAGTAAAAGTACTTGTGTAGATTAAACAAACACTGATATGGGATCACATAGAAACAACCTGTGAAAGGACACAGGTAATGGTGTATGCATTGCACAGGTTAATTATTTTTACACTGAGTAGCAAGAACGGGGAATAGCAAACAAATATTTCACTCTCGGACATGCTTTAGTGGTGTATTAGGAAATGTGATGTTAAAAACAACTGAAAACTGATGTTCAGCAAACTTATGAGTCCAGTTATTCCATTAGGAAGAGAAGTCGACTCCTGTCTGTCCCTGCTATAGATGATGGCCACATTAATACTTCAACTTATTTGAACAAAATTGGCCCCAGCTGTAACTTCCTGGCAGGTAGAGTACTAGTTCACATTTACTTTTCAGACCAACACAAGTTTCTACATTTACACGAAATCACACACTCATCCTTGTGTGAAACACACGCACACACATTTATGTCCAATCTTATATACAGAGATACAGTATCAGTAATAGTGGAGGGAAAGTGCTGGTCTTTTAAGTGGGTGCAGTCTAGCCACTGTGCGGTAGGCTGAAATAAATGGTATGTGTAACAGTGGTAAAGTTAGACATTTTATTTACACTCTTGTCTCTGATGTCGGAAAGGTGATGTGTTTTCCATTGTGGTTCCATCTTCTAAAACTTGCATTGTTGATTCAGCAGCTAAGTCAAGTATGTCCCATTGGTGGAGGTGGAGGACCGACATTTGCATGTTAATCAGACAAGATATGAACAAAAGACATGGGAAATACACCTTTCCTCTCCGGCTGCCCCTCGATGTGTCCAATCTGAGGACAAAAATAGAAAGGTTGCAATCAGAATGTGGCTATAAATGCAAGTCTAAATCAAGTAAGGAATCATTGATGACGAACTGCTGAATTACTGAAAATGAATGCTAGATTAAATTTCAATAATTCAATGGCCTGAAAACAATTCTGCTTTTATCATGGTTGGCACATGTACATGTCTATATAAGTTTGTCAAGAAATTGTTCAGGTTTTCATCTTTAAAAGGACACCGTTTGCACTCTTGGTTTTATTCCAAGAATGCACAGGGCCTCGCATCTGGCCTATAATATTGTAGTTTATGTATCTTTTTTTTATATATATCTAAAAACTGTTAAAACTGTTTCAAATCCATGCATAGTCAAGGTCAAATGGGAAAAAAATAATATATATATATATATATAATTTTGATTTGTTATGAGTAAAAACAATTTTTTTTCTTTCTGAAGGCACTGCACTTGTGGGGTTGAATGCTCTGTTGTTAGACCATTTAAAAATGTTAATTACACAAATGAAATGTTTAGCTTACTATCTTTTTCTAAAAAAAAAAAAAAACTGCAATAATTGATTAAACTTTACTGTTATTTCAAAGCTAATTATTAAAATATACACTCATTAGACCTATAGAAAAAAAAGGTTATTAGCCATCCTTTTTTGTTCTAACAAGTAACCTTTTGGAAAGGTTCTGGAACAACAAAATACTGTTTTTGTAATGTAATATGCTAGAAAACGCATTTATTGACAGATAATTTTTCAGCAAATTTGTGCAGAAATAATGACAACATTCTCACAAAAAAAGCATGCATGGTGCATGGACCATCAGATGCGCGTGAAAGTTGCATTCATTTACACAGTAGACTCCTGGGCATTTTGTTTCATAATCAAAATGAGGTAATATGTGATAAGGAACTATAATGTGGTCAAAAACCTGAACTATTTCATGAGTCATGAACTATTTCAAAGAACATTAATGGAACATGTTGGATTGTCTGTTATTCAATCAGAATGTAGAATTTTGGATTCTTCAGTCTCATGCTTTGGTGTACATGCTTGGAAATTTGGTGGTTACACTTACCCACCACTCCTGATCTTCTTCCCCAGTTACTACAATGACCTCACCCTCAACAAAAGTGAGCTCATCATCATTATCTGCCTGACAATCGTAGATAGTCTTCACCCTCCGCATTTTACTCTTTATCTGACAGAAAGCAATACAAATAGTGTAAGATAGTTTGTTGAAAGCAGCTTGTTACATACCTGCATGTATTTTTCCAAAGCTTCTGTGACCAAGTCCTTACCGGATTTATTTTCCTGGGCAATGGTACAGGCGTCTCTTGTGCAGATGCTGGGCTTCCATTGGTGTCTTCGCTAGACTGGACAGGTTGAGGAGACAGTTCAGCTGGTTGGATGATTGTTGGAGAATCTGGTGGTTGGGGCTTGGGAGCCACATCCCCAGGTGGAGGCTTGTGGAGGACCTCAGTGGTTATAGGTTTGGGTGGGGAGATGTCTGTCAGTTGAGGCTTGGGCGGGAGATCTTTCAGCTGAGGTTTAGGGGGTAGATCACACAACTGGGGTTTAGGGGGAAGGTCAGATAGCTGTGGCTTTGGAGGCAGTTCTCCTGGTTTAGGGGGTAATTCTGAAGGCTGTGGTTTAGGAGGTATATCTCCAGGTTGAGGTCTATCGGCTAACACGACTTTCTGTGGGGTGTCTGAACTATGCAGAACCTTCTGGAACAGGACAGTTTCAGGAGGCTGGTTGGTTTTGTCCATAGATGGGTAATGGATGGTGTCTATCTTACGCAGGGCAACTATTGAAAAACAAAACAATGCTGTTATGTGTTTTTGGCTAATTTTTGATATAGTTCTAGACAATTTCAGAAGACAAATATAAAGAAATATTTCCCTCACTAGCAAGACGTTGGGTCAGGTTTAAAAAAAAAAATAATGTAGAGTAGAAATTGGCAAAAGAAAACACGTCTCCTTTTTTGTCCTGTAAAAATTTTAAGAATAATTTTTGCTGAAATACTTGGAATAATTGCTCTTGCTTGTTGCATCTTTTAGTGGAGTTTCTCCTCATCACTGTCACTGTACACTGGGGTTTGTAAGGGTATTTTTTGTAATGTATAATTTGATTTGTAATTGTTTTTCTTTAAGTTATACATCTAACTGTACTGTAATAGTGGGTTGGAAAAGATAAACTGTGAGCTTAATACAAACTAAATTAAATAAAAATACATATGTGAATGCCAGTAACTATACACGTGTGATTATTCATGAATACCTAAATTAATTACTTAATGGAATTTATTTTATTTCATCATTCAGACGTACCACTGCAACATTCAAAAGCAGAAAGCATGTCACCTACCCTTCTGCGGTAGTTTGGGAAGGACCCGTGGACCAAGTGTGGTCTTTGTGGTGTTGAGACTAGAAATAAAGAACATATGTAAGCCTCAAAGCATTGCCCGATTATATCATATTTACACGCTCTGTAAAACCAGACATACTGTATAAAATGGAACTGTTTTGCATTCCCAAATACATGATGACAAAGTTACATGGACATATTCAAATGAAGCACAAAAGGCCATGTATAAATTTGCAGTCTAAAGTTTGCTGACCTTTCCAATGCAAATATAGTTCTAAAAATAGTTCAACAGAATCGCTATATAAGCATTGCAAAAGATTTCAACTTGCTTGTGTGAATTTAATTCTGAATCAGTTTTGTTCAGGCTGTTTTATTTGCTACATTGAAACTTAAAGGATGTTGGATCACCTTTGCTGTTGTGGGATACCCTCAAATCTGTTAGTTACAGGAGACATCTTGTTGAGAGGAGGCGGTGTTGAATCACTTCCTGGAATGTTGTACAGTGAACATTATACTGTGAAGTATTGTGAATGTCATAACAAATTAACTAATTTCTTAAATATATGTATCTGCTTTTAAAAGCCTATAGAGCTGCTAAGATGACATTTGCAGATTTTTTTGAGACAACATTTTTTTTTAAATAGTTCAGTGAGGTCAGTAAGATTATTTAAAGTTTTTGAAATTATTTTAGGCTGCATTTATTTGATCACAGATACATTAAACCGTAATAATGTGAAATGTTATTACAATTTAAAATAACTTATCTATTTTAATGTTATTAGAATTTTCAACTTAATTTATTTCTGTAATGGCATAGCTGAATTTTCAGCAGCCATGGCTCTAGTCTTCAGTGTCACATGATCCTTCAGGAAACATTTCTTCTTATCAATGTTGAAAATAGTTACACAATAGTTGAAAAAAATAAATATAATACTGACCCCAAACTTTTGAACTGTAGTGTACTGTAGTGTACAACCAAAATGCATTTAATTATATGCAAATGTTTTCCAGATAGAAGTTCGTGTACACATGAAAATCTCCAGGAATTCTTTCTGCAAATGTCACTTTATGGCTTTGTATAAACTCAGTATAGCAAAGCAAACTTTATTATGACTATTGTGCTGCGATACAGCAGAAAGGTAACACATTAGCACCAGACCATGCACAATAATGGTCTTATGCATCTTAAATTATGTGATTATTATTTCAACCAAAAATATAATTTATATAGGTTATATCAACATATCAGTATGTCTTTCTCCCATTAATAACTCACAGACCATTATTTTGCCATGGCTTTTTTTTTTCTTTTTTCATTACCCAAAATGGCAAGAAACATGCAAATCACTGGGGCAGGGTATCAGAGATCAAAAGGTTAGGGATGAGGTCATTAGGCTGAGCCTTTCATTGACAATATTGTCCTTTCAATATTGGTTTTCATAGTTAACATGTTCTGGAGTTTAGCATGTAATCACACCACAGAATGAATGGGATGAAAATGATCTGGTAATATATTGTAGAGACTAAACCAAAAGTAAATGCATGAAGCCTGGGGATGGTAAAAACAGGTACTAAGGATTCATTTGAAAATAACCAACATTTCTTGCTAGAATTTAATTTAAAAGCAACTAAATTGGTATTTCCACTGAAAACGTCTTACATTAATGGAAAAATCTAATCTATTCTATGTGGATCTGAGTAAATGAAACCCTGGACAAAAATAAAAACCAGAAACAGTTTGTAATTCAGCCTAGGGTTGTTGACTAAGTATAGCCCACCTTTACTGAGCGGGGTGTGTGAGAGAGGGGTGGGGGGGTCGGATAGCGTGCGTTTGTGTCCAGGGGGAGGGGGCGGGGGCCTCTTCTTTGACAGGGTGGAGCTGCCACTAGCGGGGGTTTGTGCGGCAGGGGTGGAGGGGGGCAGGTTCGGCAAGGGAGGGGCTGGAGGGAAAACAGACATAAAACAAGAACATGCAGTGATATCATGGGGAAGAATGGATACTGTCATTTAACATGGGTCTGTGGAAGATACAGGAAGACGGGTGACAGGACTGAATGACAATGTGGGTAACTACTTGGATAAGATGACAATTGCTACTGAAACTGAAGCAGGCCAGGTAAGTAGAACGTAAAGTGGAAGTGGAGACACTAGATGAAATTGGAGAAGGACATCAAGACACCACAAAAAAGTCGAGTAAGATGTATTCCCATTTCAATGAAAGAGAAAATGGAAGAACAATCTATTCTGCATTATATATTTTAAAAAGACAGTCAATAGCCAGTGAAAAGCTCAGTCAGAGAGGACCAGGAAAAGGATGAGGCACAAGCAAACACAGCAATTTAACAACTTCAGCACATTTTGCACTTTAGTTGTTACTAAGGAAAGTCAAATCATCTATTTACTAATTATGATGAACTGCAGCAGAATCATCAAGTGAAAAGTCAATTAGATGTATTGAATCTGATTAGTCTGCTAAACATTCATATAAGAAGTGTTTGTGACCATGATGCAGTGGTGGTTTGAGCGGTTGTATAGTCCAAAACCAGAAATGTGCAGCATCTATAAGTATAAAAGCATCAAGGCACATCCAAATCCAAATTATGTGCAACATGCTGTCTACTAAGATGCTTTTATCTTGTCAGCATATATATTCACCACCTATGATATTAATTTATTATTGTTACATTTTTTAACTAACAAACGTATTTCTAAAGCTCATTTCAATTTGTTCTTGAACATTTTTAAATAATCTGAAATTAATTACACTACCATTCAAAAGTCTCTTATGCTCACTAAGGCTACAAGTAAACAGAATATTGTGAAATATTATTACAATTTAAAATAACTGTTCTATTTCAATATATTATACAATGTAATTGTGCAGCCATTAATCCAGTCTTCAGTGTCACATGATTCTTCAGAAATCATTCTAATAATATGCTGATTTGGTGCTCAAGAAATTTTTTTTATTGTTGTGCTGCTTAATATTTTTTAAGAATTTTTTTTCAGGATTCGTTAATGAACAGAAAGTCTTTGTCACTTTTGATCAATTTAATTTGTCCTTGCTATTTAAGAGTATTTATTTCTTTAAAAAATCTTACTGCCCTCAAACTTTTGAATGGTAGTGTACTTTCATATAAAAACATTGTTCACTGTGATGCAGCAGCCTTCAGTTTCAGACACAGCTAGGGAGGGGCTGGAGGGAAAACAGACATAAAACAAGAACATGCAGTGATATCATGGGGAAGAATGGATACTGTCCTTTAACATGGGTCTGTGGAAGATACAGGAAGACGGGTGACAGGACAGAATGACAATGTGGGTAACTACTTGGATAAGATGACAATTGCTACTGAAACTGAAGCAGGCCAGGTAAGTAGAACGTAAAGTGGGAGTGGAGACACTAGATGAAATTGGAGAAGGACATCAAGACACCACAAAAAAGTCGAGTAAGATGTATTCCCATTTCAATGAAAGAGAAAATGGAAGAACAATCTATTCTGCATTACATATTTTAAAAAGACAGTCAATAGCCAGTGAAAAGCTCAGTCAGAGAGGACCAGGAAAAGGATAAGGAGCTGCAAGAGACGAGAAAAAGAGAAAAATACAGAGCGAGAACAAAGAAAAAGATGGAAAAAGACTGGATGACATTTTACATAGGTTTGCCTATTAATACTATAGACATATAAGAAAGTTAAACCATAAACAAAAGTATCAAATGGAAAAGTAAACCCAGCTAATGTCTGTGCTAAGCAAAATATTATTACAATTTAAAATAACTGTTCTATTTCAATATATTATACAATGTAATTGTGCAGCCATTAATCCAGTCTTCAGTGTCACATGATTCTTCAGAAATCATTCTAATAATATGCTGATTTGGTGCTCAAGAATTTTTTTTTATTGTTGTGCTGCTTAATATTTTTTAAGAATTTTTTTTCAGGATTCGTTAATGAACAGAAAGTCTTTATTGTCACTTTTGATCAATTTAATTTGTCCTTGCTATTTAAGAGTATTTATTTCTTTAAAAAATCTTACTGCCCTCAAACTTTTGAATGGTAGTGTACTTTCATATAAAAACATTGTTCACTGAGATGCAGCAGCCTTCAGTTTCAGACACAGCTGTACGATCACAGAATAAGGTCCTTAAATAGATTAAATAAGCAGGAGAGGTTTATGCAAATAAAAAAATATAGTCACTGATGTATGGTCGAGTGCTAGCCAGAGTAGCATAGTGGGAATGAGAGCCAAGGAAAGCCAGAGAAGGAGCTGCAAGAGACGAGAAAAAGAGAAAAATACAGAGCGAGAACAAAGAAAAAGATGGAAAAAGACTGGATGACATTTTACATAGGTTTGCCTATTAATACTATAGACATATAAGAAAGTTATACCATAAACAAAAGTATCAAATGGAAAAGTAAACCCAGCTAGTGTCTGTGCTAAGCAACAGAAAGCAGACGTTATGTCGATATAACGAGAAAATTAAGTCGTTATAACGAGAAAACAACTCTCGTTATGTCGATATAACGAGAAAATTAAGTCGTTATAACGAGAAAACAACTCTCGTTATGTCGATATAACGAGAAAATTAAGTCGTTATAACGAGAAAACAACTCTCGTTATGTCGATATAATGAGAAAATAAGTCGTTATAACGAGAAAACAAGAAGGAAAAAAAAAATAATGCATGGCCGCTTAGAACTTCCGTATAAGCAACAGAAAGCAGCTAAAAAAAACACATATTTGTTAGTTGTTTTTGTAGTTGACTGTACAGGTTTTAGGATTACAAACTGAACTAAAGCTACAGATGCAAAGAACTGGATTAATACATATGACTACATCTGAATACATTGAATAAATAGCTTTTATGAATGTAAATAATATTTATAACATAAATTAATATATTTATTTATGGAATGGGCAAGATTGTTAGAACAAGTTTTATGCTCAAACATTTGATTGGATTCTGGGTTACCTTTGCCTGCATTCCTAGGAGGCAGAGGGGGGGCATCTGAGATTGGAAAGGACGGACAGTCGGTAGAAACACTGTACATCTGATTGGAGAGTGCAGTATATGACAGGCGCTGTTTATCACGCTGGCCAGTGAAACTAGGCAGAGAGAGCTTGTCATGAGGAGACAGACTGTATGAGTGACAGAAACTCTGCGGCCGGGGAGACCGATCTTTCTTAATGGGACTGGGCTGGGAATGAAAAACAATGAGAAAAACATTCAGTCTTGTGAGTCCAGAAAGTTTGGTTATTATAAGAGAGGTTCAAGGGAGAATGTGTTACTTTGTCATCCAGATCATCGTCACTCTCATCAAGCTCCTCCAATCTGAGATTCCATTCATATTCCACATGGACTTTAAGATTAAATTTTCCTGCAGCGGCTTGTACCAGCTAAAATACACACATACACAAATATGAGTCAGATCTTCAAAAACAACCACATCTTAACACCCTGGGGCCACATCTTTGCTGCCCCCTATTGTTCTTATATCATGATGGACATGTATTCAGAGTCGTTAAAGAGTTTCCAAAGGAAGGACTGAATCACCTGACCCACAAGTTACTCACCGCTTCCTCACACTGGATGATCTTCATCCGCCTGGCCACATCCAGAGCTGTTTCTCCATTCTGATTGGCTGAGGACACACGTTAACCAGAAATTATACATAATGTTTACCATGAAACAACATGGTGGTTAAGCATTGGTATATATAGAGTTATATGTAAGCAAGGATTCTGGCTGATATGATAAGCTGACAATTATTATATTTTTATGTTACTGTCAATAACACATAGATGGCCAATATTATAATTTTAGACTATTTTGTCTAAACACTAAAAATCTGAAATAAAAAAATATATTAAAAAAAATATTGAATGCCACAAGTGCATTTAAGCATCATAACATTATAAATTATAGTATGAAAAATTAATAAACATTTTAAAAAAATCTAAATAATGAAATAATGCAAATGTCAAAAGGCTAAAAGGGTCTCTTAAGCCATAAAAACCCAAAGATCATGCATGATTCTACGCAGACGCTACATAACCATTGCTAACAAGAACACAATGATTGGAAGCGCTTATTCCCTCCATCAGTCTGCTCTTACAATCTAATTAGTATGATAGTGATTTTACCTGACTAGAACTCATTCTAGTATACTCATTCAAGTATTCAGACCCTTTGCTGTGACACTCATATATTTAACTCAGGTGCTGTCCATTTCTTCTGATCATCCTTGAGATGGTTCTACACCTTCATTTGAGTCCAGCTGTGTAACAATTCTGTGTTTTTCTGTCAATATGGGGTGCTGGGTGTACATTAATGAGGAAAAAAAATTAAATTAAATGATTTTAGCAAATGGCTGCAATATAACAAAGAGTGAAACATTTAAGGGGGTCTGAATACTTTCCGTACCCACTGTATATACTGTATATAGTGCTTGCATAATTATTATGCAAATTGATATACTGATCATATTTATTTTCCAAGCACATTTTACCAATTCCAAACTACATCAATCTTAATAACTACTATAGATTTAATCTTTAATCATTTATAAATTATATATAATTGTCCATGAAGGATGGAAGTGAAAAACGCAGGTGTGCATAATTAAGCAGGTTTTCTTTTACAGATAAAATGAGCCAAAAAAAGAGGTTTAACTCAGACTGAAAAGTAAAAAATTATTAAATGCCCATGAGAAGGATGCAATACATATAATAATAATGCAACACTAATAATTGCAAAGTTAAGGCATGACCACTGGACAGTGAAATGCTCATTGCTTTGAAATAGGTCAAATGGGCTTGGGAAAAAAATATGATCAGAATATCAACTTGCATAATAATTATGCAAGCACTGTATAATCAATTAGAGTATATAAGAATAGTATATGGTAAATTTTATATATGTGTGTGTGTACATATATGTAATGATATATTGTGAATGCTTATAAGTACATGTATTTATATAATTAAGCATAGCATTAAAGCATAAGTATATTTGGTGAAAGGTAAAGAAGTAAATCGGGTAAAACCACACATGCATGTGTAACTTACTGATATCAGTAGCTGGTTTGCCTCTCAGCAGTAATTTGAGGCATTCGTGTTTCTCATACAGGCAACAGTAGTGCAGGGCTGTGTTTCCCCTCTCCGTCTGTTTATCCAAATTCCCACTGGAGACAGAGACATATAAGAGTTTATTGTACTATTAAAGACACGTATTAAAACCAACCTGCAGCAATTTTAGCACAAAGCGGTGTGTTATGTGGTACTGCTAACATGTTAACAAAATCATCATCTCTAAAGTGCTTTTTAATGCAATTCAAATCTGTAATTGAGGCTGACATTAACAAGATTTTCACTTTTAATGAGCCACTTCACACTTCTGAATTTGGGTCAGCAGTGACTAAACAGCACACATGGGGAGAGAGCAAGTGAATGACCCAGTTCTGTTTACCTAGTGGGAATCACAGCAAAGGAAAAAAAAAACAGGCTACACATCTAAACCAGTATATCCCTGCTCTCCGAAAACAAATTCATATATTTCCCAGTTTGAAGTTCATCTTGAACATTTTCTGTAGTGATCACTGCAACACTGTAGGATTCAGGGTCAAAGTTCTGAAAGGATAATGTTATTTTCCACATTTGAACAAAATATTTTTGCCCAGTATCAGTGTTCATTTGATTCTGCATAGGGATTCTTAATCGGTGTATCAAACATATTTCTGTGTGCTGTCAATGAATATGTGAATGTTCACCTATAAATACATACATAAAGATTACTTTTGATATTATGTGTCAGGATAGTGCATTACTGCAGTGAAATTGAAAGGAGCATCCGTGTTCTTAATTGCTTCAATACCATAAAACACATTAATGCCCATAATGCAACTGCATGTCAGCCAATCTACTGTGTGTTAGTAGACTGTCAGCTGCCAAATCCAATAAAAAGGAATTTGCAACAATTTTGGAAAGACAATGAGAAAACATTCTAAATGTTTAGCAAATATTAAAGACACAACTGGTGGACATGAGTGTGGAGAAAACAGAAGATTCATTGTGGAATTTACAAAGACATGTATAGAGAAAAAATATTTTCCTTCCACATACAGTACATAACAGTTCAAAGGGTTTGAGGTCAGTAAAAATGTTTTTGAAATTAATACATTTTATTCAGCGAGAATGCATCAAAATCAAGTGACACTGACTAAATAAATAAATAATGTTCTTTTGAACATTCCATTTATTGAAGAATCCTGAAAAAAGTATCACAGTTTCCGTAAAAATATTAAGCAGCATAATGGTTTTCAACATCAATAATAATAAATGTTTCTTGACCACCAAATCGGCTAATTAGGTTCATGTGACACTGAATACTGGTGTAATGGCGGCTAAAAATACAGCTTTGTCATCAGGGATGAATTAGAATAGAATAAGCAATATTGATTTGAATATTTCTTAGATTTATTATTACTATTTTTACTGTATTTTTTTATCAAATAAATGTACAGTAATCTTGGTGAGCATACATTTTACTGACCCCAAACTTTTTAAGTAGTATATGAATATAATATAGTATATTCATATAAATATTAGTATCATAATAATCATAATAATCACCCTTACAACTAAACAGAAATTGAGAAAACATTGTCTCACCGAATACTAAATTTATCACAGTAGAAATGTTGCCATGGAAAGAACTCGGAGCATCATATCTTTCAAATGTAATCACGGAGGAAGTGAGAATTGAGGAATGGAAAAACTGGAGTGGAGTTAAAGCAGAGTGAGCCATGTTGTCCAAAAACTGAAAATAAAACAATCCCAGCTGTCTGGGTTGGATTTACTTTCCTTATGCTGTCATATTTCGTTTGAGTCAACATTTAATGCAAAACTGGACTAGTTTCAGTGTTCCAGTTCTCAGGGAAATCGAATTATGATTATTTACTAGGATGTAAGCCAAGAGTAGTCAGGCATGACCTGAACTTCTAATACTGTTATGTAACTTTAATCCACACAGCAGAGAGCAAATTGAGCTAAAGTTGAACTTAAATTACACTATTATCTGCATAATAATCCCTTCAAGAGTTCTGGTGCTCGTACACATGCCATCCTAAGAAAAAAACACATTAAAAACTCATCCCGTTTAATCATTAAGCTCTTAAAGATAATGGTGATGAAACGTAACAAGAGGTGGCTGCCTAAAACGAATCCAAAATACTGAAAATTGATCTTAAAAACATGGCCAGGAGTGTGTCCTCCCAGTTTTTGTGGTTATAAGCGGATGTTCCATACCTGTTCTGGACGAGGAAGTCGACCAAGTGCAGTGAGGTGTGGTCAGCTGTCTTCACGGCGTAGTGCAATGCAGTCTCTCCTCCTTCCTATAACACAGAAGCACACATTTAAAAAAAAACATTTGTTAACCCATTTACTCTCGTAATAACTGTCTCTTGACTTATTATGAAGGATAACAAATAAAATAATGAAGACAATCTATTATTTCAATTCAATTCAAGTTTATTTGTATAGCGCTTTTTACGATACAAATCGTTGCAAAGCAACTTTACAGAAAATTAAGTTTCTACAATATCTAGTAGCAGCTTATCAGTGGTGACTGTCAGTTTATGTACATATGGCAGAAATGTACGGAAAAATCAATTTAAGACGTAATCAAACAGACGATGAACACTATTAACAGCAATTATTATATGATGCAATCAAACTTATAGCTAAATTTGGTAGTTCTGTATGTTGTTTCAGGGTTGGCATCATCTGAGGTCCTCTGAGGGGTTCTAATTCACTAATTCTGTGTACTAATTCAATTGTTTTTTTTTATTACTTATTTCAACTTATATCAACTTTTAATTTTTAAATTGCAATAAAAAGAGAAAGAAAAAATCTGTTTATTAAATAAACTAAATTTTTCTTATTATTATTTTTAGCAGCCCTCCTTAAACATATTTATACATAAAGACCACAAAAATATTTATATAAAATATAGCAGGACATAGCTTTTTAATAATAATAATAATAATAATAAATGTTTTTGAGTGGCAAACTGGCATATCAGATTGATTTCTGAAGGATTATGTGACAATAAAGACATGCAATAAAATAGAAAACAGTTATGTGAACATTTTATAATATTTTACAATTTTACTGTATTTTTGATCAAATAAAATAAATGCAGTGATTATTTTTTTAATCTTACTGACTACTGAATAGTAATGTAAAATAGCAACATCAATTGTGTTATGTAATGTTGATGAAGATCCACTAAACTATCTGGCTAATAGTGTCTCTGACATGGCCATGGTCACTGCTTCATGTTTGAGGAGTCAACAAAAGATAAACCAAAGTCAGCTCATGCTCGGGCCAGAGGCTACATCATAAAAAGTGAAACGAAGATCATTTTAGATGTTTTTGCGACTGCACCCACTCAGAAGCATCTGTTTATCTCTGAGACGGTGGCAGCATTACCAAAGTCATTAGAATGAAAAGTCTCTCAGTTCGGAAAACTGGGAGAAGATCAAGGCAGAGGATTCAAGTCACGTTCAGCATGTCTGCTTTCTGATATTCACCAGACCTCAAAATCTATGCTCAAAGACTCTGATGTGTATGGGTCACTCATCCATCATGTCATGTGATAGTTAGTGTATACACACTCTGTACCTGTGGACTTAGGCCCAATCCCAATTCTACCCCTTAGCCCTTCCCCTTTCCCCTACCCCTCCGTTTCGAGCGTTCACGTGAAGGAGTAGGGGTGTCTCAATTCTCTTTTGGTTGGAGGGGTAGGGGTAGGGGAAGTGCCAGACAGCCCTTCAAACGAAGATTTTTCGGGACCACACTTCAAACGAAGGGGTATGAATTATCTCAGCGTAAACCGGCTTCAGGGGCAACATGGCTGCCCGAGCTAACAAAAAGACATAAATGTAAGCATTTTTGGCATTAATAAAGATTTTAACGAAAAGTAATCATTTGTTTTATGTTATATTCAATCGTGAGTTCATATTTCACATGTTACTCAAAGAAATGTTTGCAAAAAATCGCTAATATTTGCTAACTAACGTCATGTCATATTATAGACTGCACGATAGTGCCACAACATATGTTCATGTCTGATCAGGGCGATAACCACCGTAGACATTGAGGGGGGCTAATAATTAGAACTCGCCAAACCCTCTTCTCAAATATTGCCAATTCGAGAGAGAGAGAGAGAGAGAGAGAGATGAAAGATGCGTGCATGCGCGTCTCTCTTTTTAGAGTGAGTTTACTTAAAAAACAGCGATTTTATCCTCTTGTTGCTGGAAAATATAATGTAGCGATTCAGTATTTAAACTGTTATTAATAAAAGTCGCGGGGCAGCGTTGACAAGTTTCTTTTCTCCTGGATGTGTGAGCTGCGCGATCTCCAATATATATATATATATATATATATATATATATGTGTGTGTGTGTGTGTCAGTAAGCAGCGCATTAATAGAATGGTACTTATTATAGAATGGTAATTAAAGGCTCTAATGCACACCAGTATAGGTGTGTGTATTGTAGGAGCTAGACGACATATGATGATGTGTTGACGGCATAGTAGTGGTGTCCCAATTCTTAGGGGAATATTTTCACCCCTACCCCTTGACACTCTGTTTCAAGGGACAAGGGGAAGGGGTAGGTGCAGGGGTAGGGGAAGGGGTATAAAATAGAATTGGGATTGGGCCTTACTATCTCCTCCTAGAATGCGCAGTATGTTTGCTTTCAGGGACCACTTAATTTTTTTAATGAAAAATGAAATGGTGAATGAAAAAGTGAACCTATTTTCCCACTGTCCTAGTTACTACACCAACATGCTGTCACTCACCTGTCCTCCTTCAGGTAGTGGTTCCATAAGCTCTACCCCCTCAGCATACACCTGGATGAGAGCTAGTAGGTCATGTGACCTGACGGCTTCAAATAGCTCACTCATCTTGGCTGCTGCTGAGCTGCAGGTTTTTCTTGCAAACTTATGATCTACATACTTAGCATTGATAAACTCCTTACGAACAGTCCTAAGATCGAATTAAAAGACAGGGATTTCAAATTAATATCCAAAACATTAGAAAATGTGAAAACTAAAATATAATATAATATAACACTGGAAAACTAAAATATAATATGATAATTCACTTTTACATTTGCCATGCATACTCACATGCCACTAGCAGGAGTGGGTTTAGGAGAGGGGCAAGGAAGATTTCCCTCCATTATTTCATTAAAACTACTGTTTCCCACATTCTTGGCCAGCTGAAAGCAAAGAATAGAATAAAACAAAATAAATTATGCATAAATTATAATATATCTAATACTTAAAAATATGATTAAATAAATTAATAATCATGAAATATGTAGACAGCCATGGCTCCAATGAACTTACCCCAAATTTTCTATATGAAATATGTTTTTATTGCTATACTACAGTGTTGGGCCAAGGTCTATTTTTGTGTTGCATTTTAAGCTTGGCCTGTAATAACATGCATACTAGGAATGGTAAGATTCACCAATTTGCATCGGTGCATAGGCATAAAAGTTAACGATACAATGCATTGATTTAAAAGAGTGTGCATCGGATACAAGTTGGCACTGTATTGCGATGCATTGTTTTAACATATTTGCATTGGCAACAACTGATTTATTTATATATAATTATTAAGGGTGTAACGATTCACTCATTTTATCGATGCATCGATTACAAGCCCTGATGATGCATATGCATCGATCTTGAAACATGATTTTTGAATCGTGAATCGCCGATTTCGGACAGTAATCGATTTAAAACGCTAAGAATCGAACGAATCGCGATTTCTATAGCGATTCAATGCTTTCAAAATACATACACATTCAATGACTACAAGCACGAATTAATGGAGACCTTGAACATCGCTCCACTAACCGCCTGTGACTGTCACAGGATTGCGCTCGCGCTCCGTTCGTCTCACTGACACATTTTTTGAGCAGCTGATATGTGATCACACCTTGGTACTCGTGGCCAGTAATGCTAAAGTGAAGTAGTTTTACGTTTCTGTAGTTTTTCAATGGCTCTCGGCATCTTACCGACGACATTACCTGAGCAGTCGAAAGCTGCGTATTTATTGCATGGACGGAGCAGAAATGTAAGTGTCTAAAGCATACGCACAGTTCCACTGAATGATAAATATGTTTTAACAATGTTGTTGAACCGAATGTAGGAAGGAAACTGTTAAAATAATCACAGCATTAACAACAACCTTGAAATAAGAGCGCAAGGTTTATCTGATAATCAGACGCATGAAAGTAGCGTTCGTTGCTTTAGCAAACAGACACTGGGCACGTTTTCTTTCAGAATCATCATTTGCCAATGGAGAGGAAAAGTTAAATACCATAGCATTTTATTTTATGAAAATGAGATAAAGATGTTTTCGCACTGAAAGAGATTTGATCTCGTGCTCATAGAACTTAAGGCGTGCCAGGCTATATCTGCAGCTAATCTGAATAAAAAGCAGAATGAACCAATGAAACGTTAAGACAATAAACACAATAAATAAATACAATTTATGAATGATGCAGTGCTAATTGACATATCATTTATTACAGTACAGAAACTATAAAGTATATTTTCTACCTTATTCTGTGCAGAAAATTGAAATAATTGTTTGTAGTATATAAAACGATCATAAAATTGCCATTAGGAAAAAATTATGGATTACAAATGATTGATTATTGTCCAGCAGTGTATTTGATTTCTTATAGCAAATTCAAAGTAATAGATAAGAAAATAATTCCTTGTAAAAAAAAAAAAATTATAATTATAATAATACATACATACATAAAATTATTGTTTGACATTTCTGTCCCTTCTGAAATGATGGCTACGCCCCTGGTGTGACAAAATGTTAGCCTATACATAATACTTTTAAAGCTGTTTTTTTTTTTTTAATCTTGGCTTACATACATTTTTACATATGCCATGTCATGCCATAGCATCATTAAACATCTAACAATGGACAAAAGTGTTTTTTTCCCTCTAACCTATAGTTCTGTAACCATAAAGGCTGCTGTGTAATTTGCCCCCTGACTAAGCATTTAAAGAATTTAGGGGAAGCATTTAAATAATCATGTGAATGCACTTAAAGAATGCAGAATCGAATCGTTATAATTGAATCGAATCGAATTTAATCGTTCTAAATTTGCAAAAACCGTTCTTGAATCGAATCAAAAACCTATGAATCGTGAATCGAATCGCTGTCTACCCAAAGATTCAGATGCGCTATACTTTTATTATTTAGAATGTGACCAATAATTTGTAACCTATATTTTATATGTAGAATGATTTCTCCTCTCTAAACTGTTTGTCAAGTGCGTTCTCTCATCACCACTGCTATGCGAATATGATGCATCACAACACTACGGAGAGAGAGGCGTGTCCTGAGAGTCACATAGAATATAGATTTACATGGCAGAGGTAGAGCTGCATCATCCACCAAATAATTATAATGAACCAAAAAAATTAAATCAAACTATCTGTACCATATTGAATTGCATAGCATCAGATTTTTTTCATTGCATCATATTGCATTGATTCGCATTGTGTTGAATCGAATCGAAATCGGATCGCACTGCATCGGTAGCTGCTTTATCTTTAATGTATCGTATCTTTGGCTATGTATTGAGATACACATCGCACCAGTCTCAGTTATGGAGATGCACATCCCTAATGCTTGCATACATATCATATTGACGCATTTACACTTGGCTATGATGCTTCTTGCATGGCAAAACCATTAAACCATTGAAATAAAAAGAAAGTTATTAATACTTATATACTATACTAGCTTTTTTAAAGAAGAACTTTTTTTAGTCACATTTAGTAATTAAGTAATCTGTGTTATTATTATTTATTTAGTTTTCATTTATATTTGTTTCAGTGCTAGAGTTTATTTTCCAGTTAGTAATGTATGGCTTTAAATTCAATTTGCCAAGCCAACTTTTCAAATTTTCATTTAGCTATGTTTTTTCATCTGATATTTATATTTTATTTTAGCTTAATTTCAATTCACAAAAATGTTTTAGTTAATGATAATAAAAGGATATTCATAAGAGTCTTGCACATACAAATGTAATTTTACTTGATACATTTTATTGTAGTAAGGACAATGAAGCATACAGCGGAACTTTAGCTTCTTTCGCTTTGGTTAAAGTTTATTTGGCTACATTTTTTATTTTGTCACAAATTAATTTGTGATCAAACAATAATTGGCATACCCTCTGCAGTACTGACACACAAACCCTATGGATCCCCAGTCAAGACCCATGCTATACTGTGTTTAAAAAGAAAATGTTTGCACTATTGAACACACCAAGAGTTCAGAGGTTCCCAGTTTGTCTAGCTCCATAGACTGGATGCGTGAGATGTGGACGCCCATCTCCCGGTGAATGCCTGAGCATTCGATGCAAGTCAGGATTCCAAGGTTAGTCGACAACCATTTGGGATCTGAAAACATAAAAAAAAAAACATGAAGAAACAAGGAAAAGCAACAAACACATTTTTACCACAAGGGGTCCTCGTTGGACTCATAATTGGAATGTTCTACAAGATGGAATGGTAAATACTGAATGGAGTTTAATTTAGAGTGCCATGTTATCGGTGTTTGAATGAGAATATGACATGAACTGTTCGTGTGTTAGCGTTGGTGGCAAGTGTGGTTGTGGCTCCATGAGCTTCAGTGACGTCCCCTGAGCAGAACCAGTGACAGGGCGTCAAAGATAAGAGGACACACACATACACAGCAGCTAAATATAGATTCAGGTCTTCTCCAGCAGCTTTCTCTGCACGATCAGTAAATACCAGATGTACTTGTAGATTATTTCTTCTCCTCCAGACACAATCAGTCAGCATCAAATGCATTCATTCATCTGTCTAAGAAGCGTTTCATTAAAGCAACCTGTTTTCAAACAGACTTGCTCGTGCAAGGAGTCATGCATCTTGACACAGATTAGAATGTTTAGCTCTCAGCTGAGGAGCTGAATAACAGCTCAACACAGCTCAATAAGCCTCTTACACAGTCATCACCTAAAGCTTCCTAAACTTCATTTATAAGCCCATGAATCAATGAGTCAGTTCACAAGAATGGTTCATTTTAAAAAAGGAATATGATGCAACTATGATGCATACTCATCCCACATAGTCTATGCCAGAGGTCCCCAACCACCGGATCGCCACCCACTACCGGGCCGTGGAAGAATTGCAACCGGGTCGCAAGAACGTTTTGGGGAAAATGTGTATAGATATGACACTCTGTTATTTATTTATGTTAATGGTTGTTCTAATTATTCTGTATTTTCATTGTATGCGATTGATATGGAGTAGAAATTTGACAATTTCATGTTAAGTAAATGAAAGATTGCTCTGATCTGTCACATATTAGGAGTTAAACGGATCGCAGTTGATCCGTAATGCGTACAGATGAGACCCTACCGTTCGGTGCGTACGTGATTCGCAGATTAATTTGCCAATTTACAGGTACAAGCAATTTTAAACCACAAGAAGGAGAATCGAAAGAGATCTCAATTCGTTACTCGCACGCTGTTCTCGCACACAATCAAGGCACGCACAAGCACAGAGACGTGTTTCAGACAGCGCGGAAATAACCGAGTTGCGTATACACATAAAATTAGACCGTCAAAAACCCTTCACAGCATTGCCATTCTCTGTGCTTTAAATATTTTTTTTTCTTGCTTACCCATCTAATGTTATTATAATACTATATAATAGCTATATATATATATATAAACCACACAGTACATCTTAGCAACCACACAGCAATGTAGCAATACACTAACAATCTCCCAGCACAGTTGTTGTACAACAACATAATCCAACTTGCATGTACTCTATTCAGACTAGTGCATCTCATACATAATGAAATTAAATGAAAGGACCGTTCACATCAATGACGATAGCTATATTAGTGTCCACACCAACGTTAACATTTTTGTTTATTAATGTTATTGTTATAGTTGTGATGTGGACTTAGAATTAGAACAATAAGAACTTAATAGTTATTTCCCTGGAACGGGCCTTTATTCTCACACGACTGGTCATCTAACAGTAAAGCATCAAAAATCTTTTCGCTTGTAAACCTGACTGGTAAAACTGTACCATACAGCTGGTAAAACTGTAATAACAAATTAAAACAATTAAAAAGGTCCCAGGGGGCTTTCCTGGGCCACATCTCTATCCTCTCGCAGAGAGAGAAAACAATGAATGTGAAAGAGGCTGATCAAATAATCCCTGGAGCAGCAGCCACCCTCTCAGAACTTTCAGCACAGCTTGCATGAGCCAATTACATAAGAGAGTGATGTAACAGCGCTCATCTGTCCTGACTGCCTGATCCTCACACTCACACTCACACTCACACTGCTGCTTCATCAAGAGAGAGACTGATTTCACTGGTAATGGAGTAAGAGAAACAGAAACAGGGATTCAAAAAAAAAGAGGACAGATTGAGTGGAGAAGAGACCTGAGAGGAGAGAGTCAAATGCGGCAGAGTAACCTTACCAGACAGACAATTGTATTGTTATTTTCTTTTTAGACAGACAGGTAGACAGATATGCACCTGGAGCCCCACAATCACAGCACACTTCATTTCCGGGCATGCGCAGTACATCATCTATTATGGCTTTAGTGAGATCTTCCAGCCCATCATCTCCTCCACCCTGCTCTCCTCTGAAGGCCATGTTAAGCGCCTCCTCCTTACTGTTAGTTAACACTGAGATCCATCTGTAGAGGCAGAAACACATTAACAGAACAACACAAGAAACACTCTCCTTCTTTTTTATTTAGAGTTTTATGTATTAGGAAAGTGAATAATCTTTTAAAATTTTAATTGCATGATAACTGTACACAGTTGCTACTGTAAACCCTCTAAACTTAAATTGCTGCTTCTGATTGGTCCATTGTTTTAAAACTGACACTGAAGTGCTGCATAACAAAAGATGGACAATTTATAAATTGACAAGCTGTCTTAAAACACTCTGCTATGTAATGCTGAAATACCAATGCCCCAGCCAGCCGGTGAATTACCTTAAAAAACAACAGCTAAATGCTAAAGCAACATTTAAGCCCTTGTCGCAGACCCTTATTCATTTTTCTGCTTTTGTCTCTTTGCCATTGTTTCTTAAATAAAAGATTTTTCAAAAAATGGACCGATTCACTGAGCTCAAAAGCATGCCATGCCTCCTTCTAAGCTAGATGATGAGATCAGCTTTTGGCTTTTAAAAGAGACTCCAGTCAAAGTCGAGGTGAAAGGACTGCAGGACTGATGTATAAAGGGGTTATAGGGCCTCATTCTGATCAGCCTCTGTGCTTTTAAGAGCCCTTTATAATGGCTGTAAAATGGCTCAGTCAGGGAGTTCTGTGATGGACAGCAGGGAGCTCACAGCAGTGTAGGTAAGAAGCAAAGCCAGTAGTTAAAAATACTTAGACATGCTATAAGATGGTAGATGCTTTTTTGTGAGAATGTTTGTATCTAAAGGAGTCTGGGAAATGACATTGTGGTGTTAGTGACCTCAATGAGTAAGTGCCAACTTAAAACAATTGAGCACCACGTCACAGACTTCTCACCACACGGACACGCAAAAACCATCAAGCAAACTCTTTAGATGAGAGTTCAAATCTCAAACTCTTTTTACGATATTAGTTTTCCATAAAAATAGTACAATCTAGTCACAGAGAAGCAAAGTTGTCTTCACCGCTAGGCAGATTGCTGTAATTGTTCATAAGGATATCCCATAATCAGCATATACTGTATATAATTCTTAGCGATCACTCCATTCACAGAGAAGTTATATTACAAGTTTGTGACTTGCAGATGCAAAGTGGTAAAAAAACAAAAAAAAACATAATAAGTCTTACATCATAAATTCCTGCTCATCTTCGGCCTGGAAGTGATATGTGCGGTTATCTGAAACATATGACAAATACAATATGAGCCATCTGCATAAACATTAAGTGATTTCCACTAATTAAACACCAGAAGATAGTATTAAAATCATAAAATACATTAATGGTGCAATAAGACAATTATTTAAAATTAAGTTTGACAAATTTCTTCCAAGATTCAGTATGGTAAAGTAAACAAACATATTATACTAAGCTACTAAATCACTCATGTGGTTTCCCACAAAAGAAATTATCCCTGTTGGTGTCTGTTGACTCACGGGAAATGAGATCGAAGCACTTCCTGTCCTCAGTGCTGGGCTTGACCTGACATGTGAGCAGGTTGAGTTTGACAGGCTGCCTGTTTGACTGAAACGAAATGTGACAACAGGAGAAATGCTTGACTACTTCATATTCCTGCTATAACATCCCAAACAGTGTTGAAAAGGTTTTAACTAGAGCTTTCAAGTGATTTAAAATTTCTAATGAAGCTAATTCAAAGATTATATATTATTGTGTTAGACAATCATCTATTACTAGCCTACAGCCCACAGTTTTTAGTTTTTTTTTGTCAGTCTGCCTGCAGTACTTTCAGAACAGAAAGTACTCTTGCACACCATCTGCGCTATATTTTTCTGGTTTATGTACACACTAGACAGCTATCTTTGTTTGAGTCTAATTTTTTTCAGCATCTCATACTGCATTTACCTGTAGTAGCAAATGGGTCAGAGTGCATTCGTTGCATTACTAAATGAGTAGAGCTTTTAAAACAATAAAACACATTTTTAAACACTAAATTAACATTCCTTATTTTTTTTACAAAGAAACAATCTTCACAAAGCACTTGGTAGTAGCTTGCTAAGTTTGAGATTTGACTGTAAGAAACCTGATATAGGCTCAATCGCACAGTGATGTGGATACAAGGCAGGCTAATGACTGAACAAAGGGTGTTAAGAAATGCAACACATATGTTTGCTACATAACACTGGTCCAGATTGTTATGAATATGGTTTGACTTGACAATGAAATGTGAGACAGAGGTTATCAAGAGGGAAAGTGACATCATGGGGGAAAAGATGAAAATTGATGACATGATGTAGAGGGTGAGGACAAGACCTGACACTGAGACAGAAAGAAATGATAACAATGCTGACTGGTAGTGTTCAGTTAAATAAAAAATGTGGTCACATTTTACATTGCTCAGCAAAATTTTGTGGGTGAAATCTAGTCATTTTGATTTGTTGATTTGCCACATTGACCATAAGAAAGCTGCTTGGTTTGAAAGTGACTTCTGTGTGAGCTGTGCTTCATGCATCGCTGAACTATTGGCAATGGACTTTTAGCCTGCAAAATGTTGCTTATTAATGTGACTGACTGTACTGATGTTTAGGAGTGAGTGCGTTTAGGAGTGTAGTAAGAAACTAAACAGGCCACAACTGTTATAAAGTGAATGGCTTCCGCATATAACAGTCAGCATAGCTGAGAGAAAAGTGTTTATTATGTTTGAAATATGGATATTTTTCTTACAAAAATGCATTGATTCGCTACAGGAGGCCTTTATTCATGCCCCGGAGCCATGTGAGGCACGCTTTATTATGGATGCGTGCACTTTATTTAACGGGTTTTGGACTGTTAAACAGAAACACCCGCCTACTGCAATGATAACGCTTGGAATAGCCAGGCCAATTCTTAATATAACACTGACTGGATTCATCTCAAAGAAGAATGTCATATACACCTAGGATGCCTCGAGGATGAGTAAAACTTTTTATTTTTGGGTGAACTAACCCTTTAAAGCTAGCGTAGGCAGTTTCTGCTTTTACAACATATTTCAACAGGTAAAAGTAGATTTCTTCATTAAAAGGTCCAACATATTAGAAACACTTTCAACTTGAAGTTTAGCTTACCTGTCAAGATTAATTCTGCAAGTTTGTTGTATAGATTGAAACCCAAACATTTCATCAAATTCTTCAATCTTGTAAAAACTAGAGCCCGACCGATATGGGTTTTTTTTGGGCCCGATACCGATATTAGGGAGTAAAAAAAGCAGATATCGATATATCGGCCAATATTCTTTGTGTATATTATAGTACAATACCAGTCAAAAGTTTGGACACTTTCCCATTCGTGTGTCCACACATTTGACTGGTACTATATATAGAATACAGTATATACATAAACAGAATATATATACATAAACACATTTTTTTGCACTCAAATGTGGTGATCAAACACTTATAATATCGTGACAGAGATACGTAATGGAGGCAGGGCATTTAACAATTTAACAATAAACTTTATTATCCAAAATGAGTCTGACATCAGTGCACTGAACAGTAAAGTTGAAGTTTATTCAACTTTAATTCAATTCAATTTCATTCAACTTTATTCTGTTAAAGTTTATTTCACTTTGAAACATTCATTCATGGATTTGCGCTACTGTCTTCACACACAGACGAAACTTACTAG